AGACAGTGATTCTTGATAGAATAAAGATTGAAGATTTGCTGTGAACTCCAGCCGCATGATAGTATGTATATATGGTAGTGCATAGAGTAATTTGACATGTAAAAGCATTAGTTAAGTGCTGAGGTTCGTATGCAAAGTTATATAGAAACATTAGACAAAAATTGTAGAATTATAGTAGAAACTTCTTCTTTGTTCTCCTCTTTCATTTAGGTTTTATTGCTCTTTTCGTAACCGTGTTTTCAAAGGTGCGCTTAAGCTCTGAAGCAAGGCTCAAAATGTGTTGAGTGCTTTGCTTAGCTTAATGTGTGCTTCAATGTCGTCATCAAGACTCTATCTAAGACATACTTTTCTTGTCAAGGAGCCTCTACTGAAGTGGCGACACTAAACAGTTGATATTTCATTTGATCCTAATTTTTTTTTCCAATTTCTTTGTCCATATATATGGTATTTATGCTTATAATTAATATATATTTTTCAACTGATATATCTGTTTTTTCTCCATTAGCGCCTTTCTTAATCAAAGCCACACACTTTATTTGTGCGTTGTGCTTTAAGCCCCAACGGACCTTAGATCTTTTTTGCACATTTTGCTTTTGATAACACTGTTCATGGTGCGTATGGAATTTGTTTTGATATCCTATTGGAGCTGATTGAATATGCTATTGCCTGCTTCGCCACTGCCCTTCACGATGTCTTGCTTTGATAATTTATTTGTGCTTGGAAGTGACAAGTGTAGAAAGAATTAACGTCTATGTTCTGTTAAGATTCTACTATGATAAGTTCATATGATGCTGCTAAATTTTCATTTGCTAGCCATACCATATGATTTGAAATTCTTACAATAAAGTCGAGCTTGATTTTGTTCCTATTTTTGTTTCCTTCTTTTTATGAAGAGTTGATCTATAAGAAGCTTGATGGCATCAAGTAGACCGCGAGGCGGCAGCTTTTCCCGAAACATATCTAGTGCAGCTACAACTCAGATTCCTGGAGTTAAGCTTGGTCCAAATGGCACATCATTTCTTTCATCAGGCATACCAGATCTTGACCGTAATTCCCACTACACTTCTTTTAGTGTCTCTTTTTCTTTGTCATTATTATTTCTCTTTCTATTATTACTAAAGAAACATATATGAACTTTTGTTCCATTTGTTTGTTATATTATCTTTTCAGAGATTTTGGGTGGTGGCTTTACTTTGGGAAGCCTAGTCATGGTTATGGAAGACCCTGAGGCCCCTCATCATATGCTTTTACTGAGAAATTTCATGTCTCAGGGCCTGATTCACAAGCAAACCCTACTTTATGCCAGCCCAGAAAGAGATCCACGAGGCTTTCTTGGAACTTTGCCTAGTCCAATGGCTTCTAAGGAGGAGAAGTCTCATGAACGACCTGCAGAACAGGTTAATACCTTGCTTTCCCAACATCATAGTATAATATTATATATGAGTGTATCGTACATGATAATGTAGACCTTGTTGGTTCCTATAAGTGTGAACTTTTAGATCCACTTCAATTCACAGGACGCAAATTTAAGAATCGCTTGGCAATATAAGAAGTACTTTGGGGAACAAAATTCAGAGGGCCAAAGAGGTATGAGCACACTTGACGTCTTATTTTCTTCAATTCATTCACTTTTGAACTCATACGATATATAATGATTATTTTCCTCTAGATATTGATTTCAGTTGATTAAGGTATTTCTTTTCTTGCAAAATCCAAGTTCAAGTTTGTTTCAAATTGGTCTTTGTCATGTGAAGAGGTGACTAAAGATATCTATGATATCATTTACTGGTTAAGGTGTAAAGAAAGAGGAAATGGATCTTGTCACGAGTCTGCTAAGGGGAATCTGTTGTGAGATTGACTCAATAATGCCCTAGTGGAACACATATGAACCTTTATGTCTCTGGTGATACGTTCAACAAAATGATGCTTTTTGAAGTGCCTACTTACTATTTTGCAGTTTGCTTAAAGCCACGATAATATGTTTCTACACTTAAACAGCTTGTAAGTATGAGTGGCACTGAATGTAGAAATAGTTCTGCGACCAAGCCCTCGTACTGAAAGAACTTTTTGCCAGTTGAGACTTTCTTGTCCAGGATTTGGGTGTTAGTGATACTCCAGTTATGTTCATGAACTTTACTTCTAAAAGAAATTCTCAAAGGGCATATGTTTGACTATTAATCTGGTAGTCTCTGTTGATTTTTTAAGTCCTTGTTTCTGCCCACTTGACTCTTGAAATACTATCATCCATTATAAAGATATAAAGACTGGTAGTTTGAAGACTTTGGGGTCAATAAGCGTTCTATGTGTGAGTCATGTTTCTGTAATCAAGTACTTTGTGCAATGTTCTTTTTGTAGTTGCCCTCTCTCTATGTAGAAGATTTCATATTCCTTTGTTTGTAATTATGCTGTTAATTGAAAGTGAGATTTATGCTGAATCTGAAGATTAGCGTGTGCATTATATGTGCAGGTGGGAAAGCTGAATATTGCAATGATTTTGACTTGCGAAAGCCCCTAGAAAGGCACTTCTATAGTGGGCAGCGGGTTGATTGCATTAGTCTTCGAGATTCTCCGAATCTAGCGCCTCTACTTGAACGTTGCTCAACCTTTTCAGCTCAAATAGCAAAGTATTGGCATATCCTTTTTTCATACATTCAGTTATAGTCATGTTGGCTGTGATTTATGAACCAAAATTGCTATTTGTCAAATGTCAAGTCGGCCAATCAAGGAATAAGGATACTTCAACTATAACTGAATATGAGACGGAATAGTACTTTTTATTAGTTGTTCATATGGAATCTGAGACGGAATAGTACTTTTTGTTAATTGAATCGTGAAACAGTATGTGATATTGTTAATCATTCTTTTATTCAAAAACATCATCGTTGCATCTGAATTGAGAAACAATTACCGTTTCATGAAATATACACACACACATATGATTGACATCATTAAGCTAGTGATTTCATTGAGAAGAACTAATAAATTACTGATATTGTTAATGAAGCATCAAATTCTGCTATTTTTTGTCAGTTTGGCCCCTTCCCGATATTGCTATGATCAGGATGATCTTTCAATTTGTTGTTTTTGTCAATTAAGTTCTGTTACCTGTTTGATTATATAGGATTGATCTGTTGAATATGTTGTAAGAGTTTCTCCTAATATAATGTCAGATCTGATGACAACATCACATGTGCCAGTCGTATTGCCATTCAGTCACTATGTTCACCTCAGTGTGACTTCTCTGACAAGGTTATTTTCTGAATTTTGGTAACTTGTAGTCTAGTTTATGCTTGTAACTTTTTTGCCTGTATTAATCACTGACCACTGTGGGACTAACTAGGCTGTTAAAATCATGGTCTTTTGTTGTTTGTATAAAGGTGGTTTTCTTTTCTGGGTGAGGGTGGGAAGGAAGGGTGTCACGTAAGAACAAATGCTTGATGAAACTGTTTTGTGCTCCATTTGGGTTCATGTTTCCCGGTGTGACTGACTGTTTATTGCAAAATTTGATGTTGTATTTGCATCTCGTTGTAGGATTGGGAGATGCTCTCTTTTATAAGATCCTTGAAAGGCATGGTTCGATCTTCAGGTGCAGTTGCGGTCATATCCTTTCCACCCTCACTTGTCTCACCAGCCTTTTTAAAGAGGTGGCAGCATCTGGCTGATACCTTGATATCTGTCAAAGCAATTCCTGGTATACCTTTGTTTAATTCATTAAAGAAAGTTTCATCTTGTTTTAGTATAAAAAGTGATTAAAGCTTGCTGCAGATGAGGACAAAGAATTGGCAAAGCTCCTAACTGGTTACCAAGACATGCTGGGCCTTCTGAGTGTACACAAAGTAGCTCGCATAAATACACAGGTGAATAGCCTTTTTTGCATCAACTACAAGGTTTGATGCCGTCGTAAAATTTTCTGGGGCACACTTTTCTTTACTTATTGTTGATAATGGGTAGAGCTTGACTTTTAGTGCAGATTCAAATGATGCTTGGCTTTTAACTCAGAGAAACTAAACATTTTTTTAAAAACATATACGAGTTGACTGAATGGACTTTATTCTTGGCCTTTAGGCTTCTCTCTTTCCTTATCTAAAACTTAAGTATGATTAAGGTACATGAATATTATCAGAAAGGCTTTGATAATTGCAGAATTAAACACTTGTTTTGGAGCTTTAATCAACATCCTTGTGTGTGCGCGCGTGTGTGGATGATATTTCTACCCATCAAACTTATCAGATAAGTTGATCCAAATCTTTTAACAGGTCCCTGCAATTCTGGAAGCCACAACATTTTCAATGAAGCTGCGAAAGCGAAGGGCATTAGTTTTAGAATGCCTTAATCAAGCCCCTGTTGATGGTTCAAGTGGAAGTTCATATGGTACTTCTGGTAGTTGTTCTGGAAGTTCTAAGACCGGGAACCTTGACTTCTAGTTAATATTATGCGCGAGATTCCAATTTCTCTCAACCTATTTCATGCTGGAATTGCTGATCTATACTTTGTCAGATTGCAAGGTTATATGAAGGCTGGATCTTGCAAACATTCTTATGTTTCTGTCACATTCTCTGAACTTCATCAAAGAAAGCCGTTCAAGAAGAGGATTGCCAGGACGCATAGTTTTTCTCACTGTATTATAGATTCATAGTGCTTTACAGTAGCAAGATTTAGTTTACGATTATGACATGGATTCATAGCAGGAGCTTTAGTGCATCAGGCTGCCCTTTTTTTCTTTTTCTTTTTATTGTATTGAAGGATATGCATTACAGTAACTTATCAGTGTTGATAACTCCCACTGTAAGAAGCCTTTCATTAATTAATCGTTGTGTCTGCATTGATTCTGTCTATCATGCTTTGATTATATTTGTTTTGAACCGAGGATTTATCAGAAACAGCCTTTCCACCCTACAAAGGTAAGAGTAACTCCTGCGTATATCCTACCCTCCTAAACCCCACTTTGTGGGATGACATTAGTATGTTGTTGTGTGGCTGCATTGAAGATGGAAAACTTTCAATAATTTCCAATATTTGAGAAAGCTACTCATAAAACATCATATATGTTCTAAACTAATATATTGAAAGGATATCTTGATGCACAAAGCATCCCGTGTTCATGCATGGTCCATGATAGGGCCGCATTTCGAGGGTCTGTTTCTAAACTAATGCCATTTTATGCGCAAAACATCATAAACTACTAGAATTACATGAAACATAACTCTTAGGTAAGGTTGTTACACTCCACCTTTCCCAGACTCCACTTGTGGGATTATACTAGATATATTGTTTTTGTAAAACTCAGAATCACTCTGCTCGAAGGGTCTTATCAACGTCAATGACAAACCGGTATTTAACGTCCCCTTTGGTGAGACGCTGCAGTGCAGTATTTACATAATCCATTGGAATGACTTCAACATCTGCTGTTATATTGTGCTTTGCTGCAAAATCAAGCATTTCTTGTGTCTCTTTCATCCCTCCTATCCCACTTCCAGCTACAAGCTTCCTTCCTGTCATTATACAAAGCATAGGAGCTAAAGTAACCGTTCATTCTTGCACATAAAAGGGCAGCTCGATGCACTAAGCTCCCACAATGCCCTGGGGAAGGGCCGGACCATAGAGTCTTTTGTACACAACCTTACCCTGCATTTCCGGAAGAGACTGTTTTCACAGTTTAAAAAGGAAACAGGTAATCTACTCACCCATAAGCAATGGAAGGACTGGTAGCTCGACGGGTTTGTCAGGTGCACCAAGAAAGATAAGCTTCCCGTGAGACTTCAACAGCCCAATCAGTGGATCGAGGGGATGATCAGCAGAGACTGTATCAAGAATGCCATCCATTGTACCTATAGCAGCCTATGAATACAGGAACCAAAAGTTGAGTACCAAAATGTTATTTTTATGACAGTAGATGGTACAAGTACTAAATTACCTGCAGCTGATCTGGATCAGTGCTAACCAAAAACGAATCAGCACCAAGACGTTCAAGAGCTTCATTCTGCTTTCTTCGAGATGTACTAATCACAGTCACCTTTAGCCCCATGGCCTTGGCAAACTTGACACCAACGTGACCAAGTCCGCCAAGGCCTACTACACCAACATGAAGGCCAGGTTTGTCCAGTCCAAAGTATCTCAACGGGCTGTACATTGTAATCCCAGCACAAAGCAGAGGGGCTGCAGCAGCTAGAGGCAAGTTTTCTGGTACATGAAACACGAAATGTTCATCGATAACAATCATGTCCGAGTAGCCTCCATATGTTGGTGTTCCATCACTGTAGATTGCATTATAGGTAGCTATTCCTTTGGAGCAATAATTCTCAAGATTGTTCATGCAGTCTTCACAAGATCGACATGATCCACAGTATCCCCCGACAGCAACTTTCTCTCCAACGGTGAACTTCTCTACCTTGCTGCCAACCTCAGTTACTTCGCCCACGATCTCATGTCTACATCCATCAATTAAGCTATAAGAGTTAGAATTCAATTTGAACTATGCAAAGAATGATTCTAAATTGAGACAAGACGCATAACTTGACTTCAACTGACAACAAAACACTCTTAACTTTGAAATTGAACATCTAGACACTTCAAATCGTTCACACTTTGTCTCGTGGACACCCAATGCTGATGTGACAAATAAACTTTGGAGGTGTCTAAATGATCATTTTGTAAGTTGGAGTGTTTAATAGCATAGGTCAAAATAATGTTGTCGAGAATCTAAAAATTGAGACGATACCCGGGGACTAGAGGGTATAGAGAAGATCCCCATTCATTCTTCAGCTGATGAATATCAGAATGACATATACCACAGTAAAGAACCTTCAGTTTAACATCCTTTTCGCCCGTTGCCCTGCAACCACATTATTTGAAAGCCGAAAGAATACAAACATTAATCAAGATGATCAAAAACAAAATCTTGTCCTAGAATAGGGACCATTCCAAACATTTGTTTGTTTAGATGGACGTCGTGGTTGAAGTTAACTATAGTGTGAACAACAACAACGACATATCCAGTGTAGTCCCACAAGTACGTAGAGATGTTTTTGATATACGTGAACATCATGATTATTAAGAAAAAACATGATAAAAAGGATGTGTACCTTCTAAAGAAGTTGAATGGGGAGAGGAGTCCAGAAGTGTCTCTAGCAGCCCAACCAAAAGCCTCAACAGGGTGCATTCTTGATCTTTCTTTTACTAAAGTTTTAAGTGATTAACTCTATATTATTATGGTGTTTTAAGTATGGTACAAATTGCATTTAGTCAATTTTTAGGGAATTAAATTCTTTAAAATTTTTGCTTTGTTTACTACTAGAGTTGCCAATATGGACTGAACAGTTTTAAGAAGTGCTCTTTTGAATGGACCTTAAACAAAACATATTTGGCCTTCATAATTGACTTAAGAATTATGTGACATTAACAAAAAATGTTTTGTTTAGTTTCCACTCTTTGTTCAGTACCTGATTGAATACTGAAATTCGAAATCTCTGATTAAAGATGGAGGTACCCTCTCGTAATCTTGGGTGGTCATCAAACAATGGTTGACATTGAAAATGACTAATAAAATATATTCTTTGTGTCCCAATTTATGTGACACACTTTTCTTTTTAGTCAATTCTAAAAATAATGATGCATTTCTATACTTACTGAGATGATTGTTAGTCACACAAACATTTATTTTAGACCAGAAGTTTCAATAATCTTTCGTACTTTATTAAACTTCGTGTCAAGTCAAACAAAATCGCATAAATTGGTACAGAGGGAATATCATTTTTAGTTCAAGGGAATGAGATCATTTGTAGTTTACTCATCTTTCTGAAGTATCAAAAGTGGCAAAACTCATATATCATTGTCTCCATACTCTGCTATGTTTTATTTTTTATGATGATGGCATCTTGATCAGCTTTCTCGCACCTCGACTAATCTACCAGCTACATACTATCTCCTACTAGCACAAGGTACCAAGTAACTTGTTCCGAGAAAATGTTCTATAATAAGAAATCACCTAATACTTTTCACCGCGTATGAAAAACTGAAACTTGCTTCATTACCAGAACTTATCATTGAAGATAAAAGACTTCAATTGGTTTCCAACATTTGAGAAGCCACTCAAACTTTATTATGTATGCATTTTCTTTAGTAATGTTCCACAAGGAGAAATCAAAAGTCATCGTTTAACGCCCAAAACAACATGAAATACTAGAATTACATGAAGAAGAACTCATAGTCGTCTACTCATCTGGTTTGAGGGTCTTAGCAACGTCAATGACAAAACGATACTTGACATCAGCTTTGGCGAGACGTTCCATTGCAGTATTGACATAATCCATTGGAATGACTTCAATATCTGCTGTTATATTGTGTTTTGCAGCAAAATCAATCATTTCTTGCGTTTCTTTCATCCCTCCGATCCCACTTCCAGCTACGAGCTTCCTCCCTATCATAATACACAATTCTCAACTTATTTACACTATAACTAAGAACTAAAACACATTCCTTGTATGGTCATGTCAAAATCTAGATAGCAAGAGTAATGTACTCACCCATAAGTAATGGAAAGATGGGTAGGTCGAGAGGTTTTGCAACTCCACCGAGCATGATAAGTTTCCCATTAGTCTTCAATAGGCCGATCAACGGTAGGACAGGGTGAGTAGCAGCAACTGTATCAAGAATGCCATCCATTGTGCCCATAGCAGCCTATGTTAACAAGAACCATAGTTAAGTACTACAAGTCTACGAGACGTTATTTTATGACAATACACATTTGTTTTTCATTTTAGTTACCTGTAGCTGATCCGGATCAGAGCTAATCAAAAACGAATCAGCACCGAGATGTTCAATAGCTTCCTTCTGTTTACTTTGAGATGTACTAATAACTGTCACTTTTACCCCTAAAGCCTTGGCAAACTTAACACCAACATGACCAAGTCCACCAAGACCTACTACACCAACGTGAAGTCCCGGTTTATCTAGTCCAAAGTACCTCAACGGGCTGTAAGTTGTAATTCCAGCACAAAGCAGAGGTGCTGCAGCAGCTAGGGGCATGTTTTCTGGGACACGAACAACGAAATGTTCATCAACAACGATTATGTCCGAGTAGCCTCCGTACGTTGGGGTTCCATCGTGGTACATTGCACTATAGGTGGCTATTCCCTTAGAACAATAGTTCTCGATATCATTGTTACAGTTTTCGCAAGATCTACATGATCCAACTAGGCACCCCACACCAGCTTTATCCCCAACTTTGAATTTCTCCACCTTGCTACCAACCTCAGCTACTTCTCCCACAATTTCATGACTGTATATGAATATTTACACTATCAGATCACTCAAAAGATAACTAACGGTCACCGACCATAAAACGTAGGATTAGTGACATTGAAAATAAGACAAATTACCAGCTACAAGAGGTCAAGATATAATGAACTGCAAGATTCTCTTTTGTATTGTCGGTGTTATAAGTTAAATCGTTAATGTTTCGACAAAGTACAAATTTTTCGCATGTAAACTTAAATGGCCTTACTAAGCTCCTACTTACCCTGGCTGCTATAACTCAAAAAATACTTCATGAGAATCAATAGTTTCATTTATTTTTCTTTGAACTTCTTACAGTTGTAAAACCTCTCTTGTTGAAATTTATGGTGATACCGTAGCCAAAGGTCCATCGAAAAAAAACTTCTATATCTCTGAGGTAGGGATAAGGTTTGCATAAACTCTACCATCCCGAGACCCCACTATTATGTGGGGTGACACCCCAACTTAAGATAAAGAAGTCCCATATCGGTAAATCACATAAGAGATGTTTGATATATAAGTAAGCAGACCTTACCCACTAGTGATGCATTTTAAAGTCGTGCAGGCCTAGACCCAAAGCAAACAATATCACTAGCGAATTGACTCTAAAATTGGGTAGATCCCGATCTATAGTCATTAGGACCTCCTAAAACAATCTACTAAATTCATCGAGTTGTTTCAAAGGATCAAAATCCTAATAATTTGAATAATATAAGATTTGAGAACATACCCAGGGACCATAGGATATTTAGAAAATCCCCATTCATTCTTCAATTGATGAAGATCAGAATGACAAATACCACAATAAAGTATCTTCAATTTCACATCTTTATCACCAGTTGCCCTACAAACACAAAACAAAAAATTAACCAAAATCTCGTACTTCGTCTATCATATTATTTTGTCGTAGTTACTGTATGTTATTTCTGGTACTTCTTTTTATGAACTGCTATACTGTCAGAAACAACCTCTCTACATTCATTCCACAGAGTCTATAGGACTATACTGGATATGTTGCTATTGTATTAATAAAATATATATATTGAATGTTATGCGACGGTGTCAGATCCATTGATAAATATTTTTGAAGAATCCGAACAATAATACCTTCGGGAGAATTTAAAGGGGGAGAGTGTTCCAGAAGTGTCTGTAGCTGCCCAACCAAAAACCTTTACAGGGTGCACTTCTTCTGGTGATTTTTCCATAACTCAATTCTTGAATTTTTCACTATTGTTGAAAAAGTTGAATAATGGAATAAAGTTGTGGTTCAAATATATAATAGTAATAGTAATATTGGTGGTGGAACTATAGAAAATGGGTGAAATAATGTGCAAGTGATGGGCTATTCATTAATTAAAGGTTTAAATAAATAAACATGTCATTATTTTAAAAATATGCAAATTTAAATTTAGTCGGATCAAATTCGGATACTAACATGAATTACAGTAAGATGATTGAGATTGTTTTATTCTTGGTTAGAGGTTTTGAGCTCGAGTCTCTGAAAGTGGATCAGATCTTGTTGAAAGTGTTATCCCCAAAAAACGAGTGAACACAGATTTAATCTGACTTAAATATGAATACGGAACGGAAAATAAAAAAAAAGTGTGGAACAGATTGACGTCATTGGTGATGTATTAGAGAACTAAATTCTTCAATAGTGTTGCCAATATGGACTGGTTGTTATGATGTCTAAAAAAAGTGATGTTTTTGAATAGTCGTTAGCCAGAATATATTGATTTTTTTTTAATTTTTTTTTATAATCGCGATATCTGAACATGCTTATGTTTAATTTTGCTCATAAAATTTGAACGGATTGAAAAAAAGTCATCTAATATTTTTTATTTTGATAGAAAAGTGGGCTTGAATCTCAGAATTTTCAACTGAATTTATTAATCACTAGGTTACGCACGGACCTAACATTGACCATCTTAAATGGGATGGTTAATTCTTTAACATAATTTAGACAAGTTAATCATGTTTGTTATACCGTCATTATCCTGTCATTTTCTCTAAAGTAAAAAAAGGTCAATGAAATTAATTATCTTATCTTATCAAGATCATAGTATTAAATAATAATGTGAACACGTGGATTTATTTTGAAAATGACTTTGGAAGTTGGAATCCAATATTGTTAGCTGATTATAAAAAAATAATCGATAATTATAAGTGTGTGATTCTCTAAATAAACAATTACATATTTGTATATGTAAGTGTTTGCGATAAATTTTAAACATATGAAAAATAAATCAATCACACAAATAAAATCTGAAGAAACATAAATATTTTATTGATAATAGTGCCGGTACAATTCTGTTCCTTCTTGATTCTCCTCTCATAAGATTTATCCATGATTTGAGGGTCATTAGTGGCGTATTTCTCGAACTAGATTGATTTAGATTTGACCTCTATATGAATATTCCATGACTTTTCTAGAATATATCGATATGTCTTTTAAGGGAATTTAGTACCCTTTATATAGGCATGAACTAGGGCTTAGGGTTGAATAGCCTCCAAGAATTCTAATTGAAATTGAACACACCATCTAGAGTCCCAATTCGAATTGAACACGTCTTGTAAAATCTCACAAAATTTCAATGTCTACACTCTACAATAGGTCAAGGAGCGACTATTTTATTTTTACGCATTCATTTATTTAAAATTTGAAAATTACAAAAAAAAAATTAGAGATGAAATCGTAAAAAAAATTGATCAGATTAACAGTGCTTATAAGTCACAAAATCATAAGTCAAGAATCACCAATTTATAACTTTTATCTTATTTTGACAATAGCAAGATGAGTGATATATTTAGCGAGCGTCCATGAAGAACACAAGCAAAGCTGATGTTCTCGTATTAATATATTCCATCAAGAGAAAGGAGATAGACAGATAAGAAGGGGGGGGGCGCGGGGGGGGGGGAATCGAAAAATTTAGCTTTTCATAGCGGACCTTTATTGTGATAAAATAAGGCAA